GGGGCTTAATTATTTACCTAATTAGTATACACTTTTTTCTTAACTCATTATTCTGGCACTGTCTAGTATATCCAGATGTTTATATCATCACAAATAATTTTTTAACCATTTATGGCAATTCAGAAAACTGCATCTGGTACTTCTTATATGTTTCCTCTAAAATCAGCACTTCTGCCAAAAACATCTATAAAGAAATCCCTCAAAAGGTTTGGGTAACAAAGCGTCTGGGAATGTATTTGGCCTATGTTCAACAGGACATTATATGTTTTCTTGTATAAATCATGTCCTGGAATGTCTTTATTTAAAATAAAAACTCTACCATCCAGCACCATAAAGGTGGTTCCATGAAAAACATTTTAAGCTTCGTTTATATTTATAGTTTTAAAACACGTTTTTATGCTTCATATTACAGTAGATTTTACTGGGACTTACTTTATACATTCTTCTAGATTTTCTTTAAAAAATACTGTAAGGAAATTTTCCATTCTCAACTCACAGAAAACTTTTTTAAAAGCAGCCACTAAATGTTGTTTTTGAAAAAAAATCAGTTATGGGACCCTTTAAGATATAGGCATAAACTGGCAGACAGGCTAAAAGATTTTCCTGATGCTGGAACTAAATTTGTATTGCTTACAAAAACTTAACTTTTCTTTGTAAAAATTTACCACCCTTCTGAATCATGGTTATCAAAACAAGATCTCTCCTGTGCTTTTTTTTTTTTTTCCAATTCACCCAATCATTTTCATTTAAGGAGGGATTTATGTCAAGGATCATGATAGAAAACAAGAAGTAAAAGAAGGAAAAGGTCAAATTTGACCATAAATATAGCAAGATAACAGATGCTGTAATGGTTCAACTATAGTCTAGGTTTACACAGGTGTATATTTTCTCATCAATCACAATTCCATAGAAATTATGAACTCTGATCAACTCAAAATAGTTAATGAAAAATAATGTCTAACTGCTTCATAGACCAGTGTACTGAGTTTGGATAAGGATGGCATGTGAAATAAGTCTTTGGATATTGAAAAATAACACTTTCGGGTAAAATGTTGAAAGAATAGTTTCTAAAGGGAAAGATAGCAGTAATTCTTTTATGGTCTAGCATTTTCTATTAAACTATAGTAACCATAGGGTCTTAGGGTTTCTTTTCATTGCTACTTTCCCAGAGAGAAAGAGGGAAGGGAAGAAGGGAAGAGAAAGGAGGAGTGAGGGAGAGATTTAAACAGTTCCCTACTACAGTTTAAGGCTCTACTCAAGTTCCTTTCCTCCATGGAATGCTGCCTGACCTTTAATGGGATTCTGGAGGAACTAAATATACACTGTCTTATGATCACTGTTGTGCACCACTGTTTTAAATTACTAACCTATGGTGTATCAATGCTATATGTCATTGCCTTAGCTAAGCTCCTTGAAAAAGTGATCCTATCTAGCATCTCACACAGCACCTAGCAGGAAGCCAGCAGTTGGTTCCCATTAAGTATTTAATGCCTGATAGGCATCTATCTTCATACTTTTCCTACAATGCCTGTAAATACCCTTAATTCATACCTATAGATGCATGTACATACTCCAAGAAATGACTGGAATTATCAACCATCTACTCTTTTAATATTGGTGCTATATGCAAGAGCTCTCTTTTCATGTCCAGGCTGAATCATCTCATCTCTAGCAGCAATGACATAATCAACCATTTTAAATAAAGTACTTTGTAGAGTGAGTTTCCTAATACTGTTCAGGGGTCCTCAAATTACGGCCCGTGGGCCACATGCGGCCCTCGGGTGTTTTTGCCGAGGCTCCCTGTCCTTCTTAGCAGCCAATTTGTCCCGGCCCCACAGTGCGCATGTGTGGAATGTGCGCCACAGTCTCCAATGGCCCTCCAACAGTCTGAGGGACAGTGAACTGGCTCCCTGTTTAAAAAGTTTGAGTACCCCTGGTTTAGATGCTGAAACTGTATATCAACTGATCATTAGTCTACGGATGCTTGGAAATAAAACAGTATTTTGCTTCTACAATTCAAGCCTCTATGTACTTTCTTACAACAAAAGCCAATTTGTCTTTTTCAAAATTGTTTCTCCTGGCAAATATTTTTGCTGTCTGGCCAAGTTTTGTGTTAAAAATAAAGTACAGTATTACAACATCAATCAATGTTTAAAGTACTTAATGATCTATGAGGAAAAAATATACAATGACTATTTTGAAACAAACATGCCAATCAAAGTTTTATTTATATTATCAAATCAAGAGTGCAGCTTTGAGAAAATAAAATCATATTAGTGTTTAGAGATGTAATGGCAATATTAAGCACTTAGGTAATTAAGAAAACAGATTGTTAAGAAGAGCTGTAAAAGGCAAGAATGACTTAAAGACGTAACAGAATCAACTGTCTCTTTACTCCCCTTCCTGTCTGTGTAACACTGGCCTCTTGCCTGCCCTTTCAAATACCAGTCGTACAAGCATAATCAGAGCTTTTTCTGTAGCTAATACTGCCTCACAAAATGAAGCCAAAGTTCCTATATATTCATCATGAACATTAATTATAATTTTTTACATGACTGGGAACTTAGGCCACCTAAGTCTTTTATATAATCAAGAAAATCTGAAAATATTCTACTACTGGGGCTTTAAATGGGTACCTGAACAGGTACTAAATACAGGTTGAATATCCCTTATCTGAAATGGTTGGAACCAGAGTGTTTTGGATTTCAAATTTTTTCAGATTTTGGAATATTTGCATCATAGTACTTACTGGCTGAGCACCCCTAATCCAAAAATCCAAAATCCAAAATGCTCCAGTAAGCATTTCCTTTGACTGTCATGTTAGCACTCAAAAAAACTTTGGAGCATTTTGGATTTCTGCTTTTTGGATTATGAATGCTAAACCTGTACTCCAAGGACACAATAAGTCATAGAATTTTTATCTTACGATTCAATCCAACTACTGGGAATGGCTCAGGTAGGTGCCTAAAAGAGAATGTGGCCTCAGATATTACAATAGCATGACATATAGCACTGAATTGTCACAAACCAATAAGTCAGTCCATAACACTGCCTTTTCACCTCCATTAGTCTACACCTAAACCTGTAGGTATCCAGTGTGTCTCCTTTGGGTTGCCTGTATGTCTTCCAGATAATGTTGTAGTTGCACTGGCCTTCAATCTAACTAGATTGTTTTCCCAATAAATACTGCCTCTTGGTAAAGGCAATCATTTCAACATTTAGAGCACAATACAGAGAATAATACCATATCTTCAAGGGAGATGGAGATATATATATATATAGAGAGAGAGAGAGAGAGATAGAAAGAGAGAACAAAACACAAGTCAGACTATAAATAATCATCTTTCTAGTGACAGGAATACAGTAATGTGGCAAGATCATGAGCTTTTATAATGGGTAAAAATATTAAAGGTCAAATCTCAATTTCTTTCACCTATAAAATGGAACTAACACCACCTATTTTAGGGTTTATGAAAAGTAAATGAAGAGAGGAGTAAATAATACAGTATATACCAAATGTTCACAATAGACACTCAATGTATAATTGTTTCCTTGCTGCCCATTTCCAGGCCCTCTACTAGATTTAGAGTTCCTGGCTGGCCAAGTCTAATAAGGTAGAGAACTTCTAGTTGGGCAGTAATTTGCCTCAGAATTAAGTTATTTTGAGGACTACTTCACATCTAATTCTTAGTGTTTTTTGTGTTCCTAAAAATCTTCCATCTCCTGTTTCCTGCTGGATTTAGGCCAATTTACTCTTTGTCTTGTCCTTTGGGATCCACATTTCAGTGGTTCTTGCCTGCTTGCCTCCTTTGTGTTCCAGTCACTGTTTCTGTTTGAAGTATCACTGCTGTATCATCTCTTTTATTTTGGCCTATCTTTAATTTCTACTTAATATTAAGTGTTATGTTTTTTTTTGGTTTGTTTTTTTTTGAGACAGAGTCTCACTGTCACCCAGACTAGAGTGCAGTGGCATCAGCCTAGCTCACTGCAACCTCAGATTCCTGGGCTCAAGTGATCCTTCTTGCCTCAGCCTCCTGAGTAGCTGGGACTACAGACGTGCGCCACCATGCTGGGCTAATTTTTTCTTTTTTAGTTGCCTAGCTAATTTTTTATATTTTTTAGTAGGGACGAGGTCTCAAGCTCCTGACTCCTGACCTCAAGCGATCCTCCTGCCTCAGCCTCCCAGAGTGCTAGGATTACAGGTGTCAGCCACCACGCCCGGCCTGTATTTTTTCATTCCTTCATTAAGTGCCTTGTCACTGTTCTCTGTCTAACCTAGACACCTAAAGTTGATGCATTTCTAGGCTCTATTATCACCCTTCCAAAAACCTTGAATTAAATGCAACCCCTAGAATAGCTTCAACTTCCTATTTGCCCCTAAATGAGAGATTAAATGAGGACATATCATCTTTGTCAGCTATTAGATTTAACAAAGCACTACAAACAACCTGAATATCTGAGGCCCAACTGATAATCCTAAATATAGGACCCACTTTAGGGAACTGACAGAGCATATGAAATTATCTTACAAACACCAAAAAATATGTGATAAGTGTCTGTATAAAACACCATCAACAATCATAAAAATCTAGTACCCAGACATTCATTCTATAAAAAGTGACTGTTTTATTTGAGAATACTGCCCTAACAGATCCGATGGCTTTGGGTACGAGGCAAATGAATTGATCAGGAAAAAGTCATAACCATAAAAAGTCAGATCAGTCAAATCAATCTCCTTGATGGTCAACAGGGTGATAGCCAACACCACAGCATTGCCTTAACATCCAGGAAAACTAACTGGACAGCCAGAGCCAACTTAATGACTCTGGTTTCACTAGGTTCATACTTAAAGTGAAGCAAATCAATCACAGGTGATGGAAATAGAAGTCTCACACCAATGAAGTTGGTCTCACGTAACTGTGCCAATTTGTGGTAGAAGATTACATTTGATTCAGCACTACTGTTATAGAGGGGGAAAAGGAAAAAACAAAAAAACCTACTTTGTTTTCTAAGTTCTTCAATTTGTTCTTCCTTTAGATCTAACTGTTCTGTAAGTCGTGATGCTGAATCCAGTGCAGCATTTGCTTCGTCCAAACGTTCCTGAGGGAGGAAAATTCAATAAAAAGCAGTATGTAAAAATGTTTTCACAAACTATAGGGCTGGGAGGCCTATTAGAGTCAACCCTTTACAATTCAGCTGACAAAGATGCACCTCTGTGACCGCATTCAAGTTCATGAGACTAATAAGCATCAAAGATAGAACCCATACTCTTTCACAATACAACACTTCCTCTTATAGAGGAACTAAATAAAAAGAGCAGATGCTACTAAAGACAGCACAGTGACAGAAGTAAAAACAAAAGTGACAACAAAAAGAAATAAAACTACAAAAACCAGATATGGAAAGCCAAGAAATATAGCAACATATGTTCTTATTCTTTTTAATTTATACGGCTAAAAGATATAAAAAATATAAAGTTTCATTATATCCTTACTACTTTAAATTTTATTTTCCTGACTACAACAGTGAATTTAAGCATTTTTTTTCCATGTTTACAGGACAGCTGGATCTGCTCTTCTGTGAAAACCTCTTTGCATACATTGCCCACGTTTTTACTGAGCTGTCTTTCTCCTGTCAATTTATAAAAGCACCTTGTATAGTAGATGAAATCTTGGTCACCTGTGTTATACAAATATTGTTTACCAGAGCTGCCGTTTGTCACCAACTCTATAATATCTTTTGTCATGTAAACATTTTTAAAATGTATATAGTTAAATATGTTCTACTTTGCTTTTACAGCTTGTGAGTTTTAGTCTTGGTTAGGATTCTCCTTGCTCCTAGACTGCATATGTAGTCTTCCAGATTTTATTGCAAGATATTTTGTTTTTTATATTTAAATCTCTAAAACAGTGTTTCTCAACGGGAATGCTTCTGACATTCATGGCCCACTAAATGCCAGAAGAGCTATCCACTCACTGTGACAACCAAAAATATCCCCAGATATTCAGTACCACTTCCAGTTGAGAATCTTTGCTTTTCATACAAGTGAAATTTATTTTTGCATATGGCATAAGATTAAGTTCAATTTTATTTTCTTCCTTATGAACAGCCAGTTGTGCCAACATTGCTTATAAGATAATCTATCCCTTTTTTTATATATATATGTAATGACTGTAGTAATCAGTTTATTACACAGATTAATCATTCTTGAACATACAAGCTCCAGAGGAGCAATTGGGTCTTTAAATATACACAAGTATTTCCATGCAATGAATTTTCACCCTTACATCCAAATAGACCTAAGCAGTTAAAAACATAAGAAAATAAGAGTTATTAGCTATGAATTAACTGAGAAACCACATACAAACCAAAGAATATGGAAGAGAGAAAGAGGGGTTTAAAAGGCTGAAGGGGTGGGGAGATGTAAGAGTTGGGAACAAAGCCCATCACGCTTTATGTACTAATAGCTCCAATCCATTTAAATATTGACCAGTTAAACTTAGACCTTAAAATACAGGATGTGGGTAGAATTAATCTGGTTGGTCATAACTTTCACCCAAGACGCAGGTCCTTCAGAATAAAATGAATACAGAAACAGCTTCATGTTCTTCACCTTGCTTTACATAACTGTTTTGGGTTTAAATGGATTCCACTTAAAAACAATCTCCTACACGTCAGTGGAGCTTTTCTTTCCCATCCAAGCACACACCAAACCCACCACCCCTCACACCTTGCCATTATCCAAATTTAAGTCAATAAGGAAAGCTTTTAGTCTCACACCTAGGTTACGCCTGGAGAAATGGCTTGTCACACACACACTTCTCTGCTAGGAGACAATGTTGGTACAGAAGTACAGTATTTCTAGTTTGTTGTTCCAAGTATGTACAACACGCAGCACTGCTGTATCAGGTAAACATGTGCACAGGGGAAGATGAGGCGTGGGCTCATAGAAAGCAGTCAAATGGAAATCAAAAGGACTTTTTCTTTCAGAGTTCCCCTATCTTTATTTGTAGAGGTTATCCAATAATTTCTTTAATTACATCGCATACTTCTGAGTCCATTCCCCAGCTATTCTGTTGTACTTTTCTCTATCTGTTTTGTAGATCCGAGCAATCTCAGGCACTAAAGGATCATCTGGATTGGGATCACACAACAGAGAACAGATGGACAAGAGTACTTTTGAAATAGTTAGTGCTAGAGACCACTGTGACCGTAGAATATCAAGACAAATGCTGCCATTACTGTTAATATTTGGATGATAAATTCTTGTTGTAAATGCAACCTTAGGTGGTTTGAAGGGGTAATCTGTTGGGAAATTAATTGTCAAGAAAAATACTCCACCCTGATATGGACTGTCATTTGGCCCCATTATTGTAGCTTGCCAATGGAACATGTCATCTCCAACAGGACCTGCTGAACATTGTGCTGGGGGATCCTGTGCCAGGTCATTCAATTCCTAGTGGATTCTCTTCAGATCCATGATGGGAGGCGGGTGGCGGCGGTCCCCGGGGTGGGGACCGATAATCTATCCTTTTTCTCATTAAATTAAAATTAGTTTAGTTTCAAATTCTCAAATATGTCCTGGGCTCTATTTCTGGATTCTCCTTCTGTTGCACTAATCTAGTCAATATTGTACTGATTTATGGCTCTACTTTGATACCTAGTAAGCAAGTCGTTTTCCTCACTGTTGTTCTTTCTCATAAATTCCTTGGCTACTCTTAAGTAGTTATTCATGTAAATTTCAGGTCAAGTTTTGCCATCTTTAATCAGTATGATAGCTTTTTTGATATGTCATCCTGGATAGGCTACAGTCCCCAGTTATTCAATCAAATATAATTGAGATGTTGCTGTGAAGGTATTTTGCAAATGTAATCACAGTCCTTAATCAGCTGAATTGAAGGAAGGCACATTATCCTAGGTAATCTATGTCGGACTGGTTGAACTAGTGCAAAGTCCTTAAAAGCAGGACTTAGGCATCCCCAAAAAAGAGAAGAAATTCCTTCTGTGGACAGCAGCTTCCACCTGTACATGTGGAGTTCCATTCTGCTTGTGATCTTCCTTTTCTGACTGTCTGTGCACAATAGCTTTGGCCCATGCCTGTGAGTTCCTGCCTGCCTTTGATGTGGTCTTTCCATCCTGACAACACTAAAAATTGCACACTTGCTTAGCCAGCGCCCACATTCACACAGCCAATTCCTTGTAATAAATCACATATGTGTCTCCCCATATAATTATCATAATTAATATACATTTGGTGCGCACACACACTCCCCTACTCGTTCTGCTTCTAGAGGTTTGAACACTGATATACAGAGAGGGATTAAAACAAAAAATTTTAAATAAAAAGTTTATTATTCAAAATTCACAAAACTAAATTTAGTGTAAAGAAAATTTAAGTAAATTATTTTTTTCTTATTTGTGTAAATTTACTGGGTACATAAGAAATTTTTTACATGTACATAATGCACAGTGATTGAGTCAGAGTATTTACGGTACCCATCACCTGAGTACATTTTTTTAAGTATAGTCACACTACTCCATTTTCAAACATTGAACTGATTCCTTCTACCTTACTGTATATTTGTATCCTTTGACACTGAGGTCCCCAACTCCTAGGCCATGGATAGGTTGGTACTGGTCAGTGGCGTGTTAGGGATGGGGCCACAGAGCTCTGTTGCGCCCCCTGCTTCATTCATCCCCCCACACTCCCCAACCCCCGTCCACAGAAAAATTGCCTTCCATGAAACTTAGGAATGGCGGGGCACAGCAGGAGGTGAGCTGTGGGGGAGTGAGTGTATTTACAGCAGCTCCCCATCTCTCACATCACGGCCTGAGCTCTCCCCACCGCACACACTGCAGAAAAACTGTCTTCCATGAAACCGGTCCCTGGTACCAAAAAGGTTGGGGACCAATGCTTTAATACACTTCTCTTCATCCTCCCCCTAAATAAACTTTCAAATTATTTTTTTACCTCATTGCATTTATACTTACGAAATTATTAAAGCTTAAAACTACACTAAGACTTTTTTAAAAATCAGCATTTAGATTTCATTATTCTTTCTACCATTTGTTTGGTTTTTATTTTATTAATTTCAGCTTTTATCTTTATTAATTCCCTCTTAGTTTCTTCTGACTTATTTTGTTCTTTTCCTAAATGTACATTACATTTTAAATTTTAAAAAATAAAACTAGTTTTAAAAGAAGATTTGGACTACCATTCTAGCAGTTTGACATACTAGATACTTTGGATCCACTGGAAACAACTAAAAGTATTAGAGAAAATATAACTTTTTATGCAGTAAAATCTCTGCCATGGGGGGAGGAATATATATGTATCTTTTAAATGTATTAGTCCACTGACAAAAAAGCATAAATGGTCAATGAACATATTAAAATATGCTTGCCCTCATTAGTAATCAGGGAAATGCAAATTAAAACAAGAAGATAACCCTTCTGCTTTGGTTTGAATGTCTCTCACATAGTTCATGAGCTGGAAACCTGATCCCCAATGTGGCAGTGTTGAGAGATGGGACATTTATTGGGAGGTGTTTGAGCCATGGGGGCATTGTCCTCATGAATAAATTGATACACTTATTGTGACAGTGGATTCCTTATAAAAGGACACGTTCAGCGCCCTCTTGCTCTCATACCCTCTCCTTTGCCCTTCTACCATGGGGTGATGCAACAAGAAGGCCCTTGTCAGATGCAAATCCGTTGATCTTGGACTTCCCAGCCTCCAGAACCCGTGAGCCATTAAGTTTCTGTTCATTATAAAGTACCCAGGCTGTGGTATTCTGTTATAACAGCTGTTATATTCTGTATAACTAAAACACCTTCCCATCCACCAGATTGGCAAAAACTTAAAAAGTCTGATAATACCAGGTATAGACAAGGATGTAGAACAAGAACTCTTAGGCACTGCTGGTAGGAGTAAATTAGCAAAATGGCTTTAAAAAACAATTTGCCGGGAGGAGGGGGGGAAATGGGCATTTATTGAAACCTTAAAATCTGTACCCCCATAATATGCCAAAATAAAAAAAAACAAAAAACAAAAAAACAAAACAATTTGCCATCATCTAATAAAGCCGATCTAATAAAGTTGCCTGTATGTATCCCTTAACTCAGCAATTCCAATCCAGATATACACCTAAAAGAAACTCTTGCATGTGTGCACCAGGAAATATAAACAAGTACATAAGCACATTGTTTGTATGTAAGATATCTGAAATGTCCCTCATCAGTAAAATGGGTAGATTAATTATATTTCATGCAATGAATACATCAGTAAAGATAATAAACCATCTACACACAGTAACATGGCTGAATCTGATGAATATAATGCTAGGTTTAAAAAAAGAAAAAAGCAAGCCTCAGAAGACTTACTCAATTTATAAACAGTTCAAATTCCATTTATACAGAATTCAAAAATATGCAAAACCAAACAATGTATGGTTTGAGATGTACACCTATGTGTTAAAACAATAAATAAAAGTGGGGGGGGGGCGGATAAATATAAAATTTTGGAATAGCGGTTATCTACAAGGTAGTAGGAAAGATGAGATGAGAAGAGGTGCATAAGGAACTTCAAAGGATGACATTCTATTTCTTATACAAGGTGCTGAGTATGTGGGTATTTGCTGTTATTGTGCTATTCTTACATTTTACAGATATTATCTAAATTTTTTTGCAGCCACTAATACTTAATAAAAAATTTTATGGAAAATATATCTTCACTTACTTGAGACATTAATGCTCCTGAACAGCACACAATTATCACTAATGCCAAGTAAATGAATTTTATTACTTTCTACCAGCTATAGTCAGAGACTACTTATAAATTAGAAAACTTTCTCCTAAACCTAAAAACAAGTCACTGTGGTGTCATATCTCCTCATAGTGGTTCATTTTTATTTATACCTTATATTTAATTAAAATATAGCATAATAATAAAGAGAAGTATGAAATATAGCCTAAATATGAAATATAGCATAATAATAAAGAGAAAAATCTTTTAAAAGCTGATGCTGCAAAAGAAAAGGATCTAATGGGATAATATTTTATTCAAAGTGAAATACAGTACCCAACAGATTTTGTTGAAAGGAGAAAATTATAAAGTTAAAATTGTAGAATAATTTGGATTTTTTTTTCAGAGGTCTAAAATACCCATGTATTTGGCCAGGCGTGGTGGCTCACGCCTATAATCCTAGCACTCTGGGAGGCCGAGGCAGGCGGATTGCTCAAGGTCAGGAGTTTGAAACCAGCCTGAGCAAGAGCAAGACCCTGGTCCCTACTAAAAATAGAAAGAAATTAACTGGCCAACTAAAAACATATAGAAAAAATTAGCCAGGTATGGTGGCGCATGCCTATAGTCCCATCTACTTGGAAAGCTGAGACAGAAGGATTGCTTGAACCCAGGAGTTTGAGGTTGCTGTGAGCTAGGCTGACACCACAGCACTCTAGACTGGGCAACAGAGTGAGACTCTGTCTCAAAAAAATAAATAAATAAATAAAATACACGTGTGTGCTAAAAAATTTAAATGTCCTATCATCTCACATTTGCCATGTCTACCATAAACTATGTCACTTGAGGGAAATCCTAAGTATCTTTTGCTCACTGTTATGCCCTAGCAGAGGGCCAGATACAGAGCAGCCACTCAAAACATTTACTAAATGAATATTTAGGAGATTATTTCTAAGACAAAGATTATACAAGTAACTGTTTCATGAATAATAAAATCTACAAGAGAAAACTATTTTGACCTACCTGTAACGATATAACTTTTCCTTCCAAATTTTCTGCCTTTTTCTTCCATTCAGCTATAAGCTGTTTTTGCTTTTCTAGTTCAGCAGAATACATGGCTTTTTCCTCTATAAGAAAGTTACATTAGTATTTTGCAACTGTGTGATAAAACTGGAATTTTAAATCATTTGAAATTTTAAAAATGCAACAAAAACAGTTTAAATGTCTCAACAAGAAAATTTACATGCTTCAGTGATATTATTAAGTGGAGCTAAGATAGTAAGATCACTGTTTCCTCCGCCTAAGCCCTTCTCCATTGTGTCTATCATGCAGATTCTCCTCTCTCTTCATAACTCCACTCAATATTTCCTCTTTGGCCATGCTTTCTCTACAGCCTCAGTACCATACTATTTTGTATACATACTCACTCTAGTAATTATATTATAAAGCAGATCTAGACAATTCTCATATTAAAAATTCAAGATTTCAACCATATTAGTAACCCTGAGAGGACACATAGATTTAAAGTTTTGCTTAGGCACAAAACCATAAGCCCCTGTTACTTCATTATCTTCATAGCCTCTAATCACTTCCCACCCCCTTGCACTTAATTCACTGTCAATAACCACTGAATGCTCGAATAAATGGGTGAATGACCTAAAGTGGGTAAACAAGGATGGGAGGTAAAATGTAAAAAAGAATATTTGATTCTCAGGGTAAAACTGCTCTGGATACTGTTATTGTGTCTCCAAAAAGTATTTTCACTTGGACTAGAAAATGTAGTTACCTCAAATTACAGATGAATGACTAACAACAAGTTAATCAATATTTCGAAGGACAGTGATTACTGATGATCAACACTGAAGTTCAACCCCCAACCATTGTCTCAAAACCTAACCATCTTTTTTTTTTTTTTTTGAGACAGTGTCTCACTTTGTTGCCCAGGCTAGAGTGAGAGTGCCGTGGCGTCAGCCTAGCTCACAGCAAACTCAAACTCCTGGCTCAAGCGATTCTACTGCCTCAGCCTCCCGAGTAGCTGGGACTACAGGCATGCACCACCATGCTCGGCTGATTTTTTCTATATATATTAGTTGGCCAATTAATTTCTTTCTATATATAGTAGAGATGGGGTCTCGCTCTTGCTCAGGCTGGTTTCAGACTCCTGACCTTGAGCAATCCGCCTGCCTCGGCCTCCCAGAGTGCTAGGATTACAGCGTGAGCCACTGCGCCCAGCCGCTAACCATCTTTTTTTATGTGTGTCTCTTTCTTTGTTTTACTCTCTGTATGACTTGACCATCTTTCCTCATGTTACCCTTATATTTTTTCAACTTGCACCTTAACTGGTAATATGATACTAAAACACATTTTTAGGCCAGGCACGGTAGCTAACACATGTAATCCCAGCACTTTGGAAGGTCAAGGGGGGAGGATCGCTTGAGGCCAGGAGTTCAAGACCAGCCTGGGCAACACAGTGAGACCTCATTCTGAAAAAAATAAAAAACTTAGCTGGGTATGGTGGCATGTGCCTATAGTCCCAGCTACTCAGGGGGTTAAGGTGGGGGGGCACCCCTTGAGCCCAAGAGGAGTTCAGGGTTACAGCGAGCCATGACTGTGCCACTGCATTCCAGCCTGGGAGACAGAGTAAGACCCTGTCTCTATTTAAAAAATAAACAAATAAAACAAATTTTTATTAATTACTAAATATAGTTTATGTTCCCTAGTCTTAATTGTAAAAGGAATCTAAACAACTTGTTGATGACTACTTACCCTTGCACCTTACGAGTGGGTAAGATTTCACAGATTTCCCCATGTCTAAAATAGCACTTAAATAAGGCAAAAATTACCAATAACTATAATTTTTCTTCATTGAAAGACTGATCATGCAACTTACCTTGTTGGAAATGCTCTAGTACCATCTGCAGGTTGGCTAGTGACAGGGCATACTGCTTTAATTGTTCCTGAGAGACAGAAAGCTGCACTGCAATTTCATCCCTTTGCTTGGAGACTATATTCAATTGTTCTTGCAAAGACTCTACCTGCACATTGGCTTGATGGCTAGAAACAAAGAATAAAGGTCAAACTGCTTCTATCTATTGAGATACTTCAACAAGAAACACTTCCCTTATATCTTATAGCTCTAAACTTAAGTTAGATTTCAAAGTATTCAGATACTTTAACAAGATGAAACATCTTCCTTCATTTTTGTGATTGTTGGTGAAAATAAGAGCGTAACATGACATATACCATTTTAATGTGTATAGTTCAGTGATGCCATGTACATTCACACTGTTGTGCGAACCATCATCACCATCTATTTCCAGAACGTTTTTTATCTTCTCAAACTGAAACTCCATACCTATTAAATAGTAACTCCCCATCCTATTTGCTTGCAAGGACGACTCTACTTGGGATCATATCATGATTTGATGCGTTCCTGATGATTTATAGTATGTAGAGTTAGATTCTAAAAAAACTTGAAGAGTTTCTCATCTGTAGTGTTCCCTGTTGTTACTATTCAAGTCGATTATTCCCTGCTGAAAGTAATTCTGAACAAATGACAATCGTGTTTAGTTAATAAAGTGTGACTAAAACTTGCGGGGCATTTTGTGTGTTTGGTCAACACCTGTAGTTGTTACTTCTTTGGCGGAGCGAGGCGTAGGTGGGCGATGTGTCCTCCAAGAGTGTCGGAAACCAAGCGGTGTGAGTGGAGACCGTGGTCTCTACTAGAAGAGAGAGAGTGTTGATTGACCGAATAAAAGTGGGTGGTATATTAAAAGTTTGTGGGCATGGGTGGCACATGCCTGTAGCCCAGCTGTGTGTAGAGTGGAGGCAGTAATAGGATTGTTTGTGAGCCCTAGGAGATTGGGTGCTGTGAGCTAGGCTGATGGCACGGCAACTCACTCTAGCCTGGGCAACCAAAGTGAGACTCTATCTCAAAAAAAAAAAAAAAATTTTTAAAAAAAAGACGACGTAAACTTAGCTAAATAAGAAATGTCAGCAAAAGAAAAATTTACAAATAGCCTGCAACTTTCATGTTTGCAAGCTAAAACTCTAAGATGGAATTTACCATAAAACATGTCATAAGGAACCTTGAAGTCATATTGTCTGGCTTTCAACCTAATAAGGAATGGATTTTATAACACTCACTGCTTTCAACACTTGCAATCACGGTGAACTCACAACTTTCCAAAGGCTACCCCATTGATGAATTGCCCTGATTATTAAAGTATCTTTTTCTTTTATTACCATCTTTCTTTCTGCCTAGATTAAATATAATTCCTACCCCAAATAATAATCCAGAGACCCCTAAAAACTTATATAGCACCTATCCAGGCTTATGTCACTGGTGTACTTCCTTAACATATAATGATTATATTCAAAATATTGCACTAGTCTTTCTGGGTTTTTTAATGTAGTTCTTATTCAAGAACAGCCTATAAAGCACATGAAGATCACCTCACTTTGAAGAGACTTTACCCAATAGCACCCTCTTGTGGAAAGAACAGTAAATTGATCATCAGATCAAACAAATTTTTTAAAACATTAGCCAGGTATGGTTGGTGCATGCTTGTAGTCCTAGCTAATAAGGAGGCTGAGGCAAGAGGATCACTTGAGGCCAAGAGTTTGAGGCTGTACTGAGCTATAATCGTGCCACTGCACTCCAGCCTGGGCAACAGAGTCTCACTGTATCCCCTTCCCGCCAAAAAAGAGTCACAGACTACAGTGTGAAACTCAGTCACACATACATTCTCTGTCTGACCTTGAGCAGGTTATTAAATCTCTTTACTTCAGATTCTTGATTGGTAAAATGGAAATAAAGAATTTTGTGAGAATGAGCTAACATGAAAAATGCTAAGTCTGACACTCAAGAAGTGTTAAGTTAATACAAAAAAAAGAAAAAATTACCTTGCATTTTCCATTGCATTAGAGGATGAAACTAGCTTTTCCTCCAATACTGTGACTTTCTTTCTTAGTTTAGCCTCTCTATCTTCTGCAGCCAAAACTTCACGAGTATAAGAATCTTCTGATTCTAAAAGATGATTACGCAATCTCTCTAGTTCCTGGTTTAACCGAAATTCTTTGTCCCGTAAACGTTGAACCTAGGTAGAGGACACTTCTTTATTTTTCTTCTATAAAATGCTTCCCCCATGCAAAAGCCACTTTGTTATCAAATCTTCTTCCCATTATTGAAGTATATTAATTGTATATTAATTCCTCATACTGTAAGATATATTTACACTAGAAAACAATTCTGGAATCATCTTGAATATTCATCTGGAAACTTTATAAGATCTTATTCCCTGTGGCTATAATGGAAAATGGAATTATACAAAAGCACTCTGTATAAAGTATTCTTTGCAATAGACCACTTTTTAGTAAATCTCATTTTTTTCATACTTTATGAGTAACAAACTTTTCTCATATCCAAAATATGGTATGGTTTTCACTTTTGAAAACTGAAACAATACACACCCTGGGAGATCAAAATCTACTGTAGCACATCAGAAGATGATTAAGAAAAATCACCTAAGAGATAAATTCATTTTATTAGGTTAAGTATGAAATGTCCGATTTTCTTAAGTACTAAGTTTGACAGTTGCTATCTGTGACATTTCACTTTGACACGCCTTGCTTTATTTTTATTGTGAAGGTACATCCTCACAGTCTTTCAAACGCACATTTTGGCTTGTGATTGTCTTCCAAATTTTTTTTTTAGAACAATTTTCATGAAACCATGGATAAGTAAAAAATTCGTGTAATTTTCAAATATGAGCTCTGTTGTGGAAACAATGCAGCACACATATCTTGAATGAAATGTTTGGGAAGGATGTAGCTAATGAAGGCACAGTACATCAATGGTTTGAGAAGTTCCATTCTGGTGATTTTAATCTTGAAAATGAGCCACATGGACAACCCAAGACCAAAGTGGATAATGATGAGCTGAAAGCTGTAGTGGAAGTGAATCCATCTCAACCTACGTGTGAATTAGCAGCGAGGTTTGACATTACTATTCCAACAACATTGGACCATTTGAAACAAATCAGCAAGGTAAAGAAGCTGGATAGATGGGGACTGCATGAATTAAGCAAACATCAGAAGAGAAATCATCTCAAAGTTTTCCTTGTTGTCATGACATAAAGGCAAACCATTTCTACACTGTATTGTTACATGTGATGAAAATGGACTTTTTTGACAATCACAAGCATTCGGCACAACGGTTGGATAAAGAAGAAGTGCCGAAACACACTCCAAAACTGAATATTCATCAAAAAAGCTAATGGTGTCTGTTTGGTGGTCCAGCACTGGTATTACTCACTATAGCTTCATGAAACCTGGTCAATCGATTACAGCAGATGTCTACTGCAACCAACTGGATGAAATGATGAGGATGCTTGCGATTATGCAGCTGAGATTGGTCAATAGAGACAGGCCAATCCTCTTGCAAGACAACGCTTCACCACATGTCACACAAATAATGCTGCTCAAACAAACAGAAGCTAGACTTGGAAATTCTCTGTCATCCACCTTATTTACCAGACCTTGCACCAAGCAACTACCACTTCTTCCAGGCTTTAGACTACTTCTTGCAAGGAAAAATATTCAGTTCTCAAGCTGCGGAAAATGCCTTTAGCGATTTCATCTCCACTCACTCTCCAGGCTTCTTCACTGCTGGCATAAACAAAATGGCAAAACTGGCCGGGTATGGTGGCTCATGCCTCTAATCCTAGCACTCTGGGAGGCCAAGGCAGTAGGATCACTTGAGGTCAAGAGTTTGAGACCACCCTGAGCAAGAGTGAGACCCTGTCTCTACTAAAAATAGAAAGAAATTAGCTGGACAACTAAAAATATATATAGAAAAAATTAGCTGTGCCATGGTGGCATCTCCCAGCTATCCAGGAGACGAAGGAAGCAGGATTGCCTAAGTCCAGGAGTTTGAGGTTGCTGTGAGCTAGGCTGGCACCACGGCACTCTAGCCTAGACAATACAGTGAGATTCTGTCTCCGAAAATAAAAAAATAAAATAAATAAATAAAAATAATAAAAAAAAGATGGCAAAACTGTGCCAATAACTTAGCCACATGCTTTGATTAACTGTACTGTTTCTTGTTTGAGATATAATAAAGTACACTTTTGATTCAAAATCGGACATTTCATATTTAGTGACCTAATACTTGACAATCCTTTCAGTTCTCTTAATAGTTATTGAACTGTTGATTCACTATTCCTTTAAAGTATAAATATACCTCATTCTGTAGGGCACTGTTTTCCATTTGTTTCTGTTTCAGGGACAACATGACTTGGTCTCTCTCCTGTTGAAATGTAACTGTCTTCTCCTGCATTGATTTAACTGCATTTAAAAGCTGATTCAACTCCCCAGTCTTGCCCTTTTGAAAAGAAATAACTCCAGCTTTAAATAAAAATACATTTTTAAAAAGACATTTTCTTTATCAAATAATTAATTGAAAAACACAGTTAGCTATGTCAAAGTCATCAAAACCAAGGAAAGTCTGAGAATCTGACCCAGTCTAGAGGAGCCCAAGGAGACATGACTTTTAAAATATAATGTGGTAACCTAGATGGGATGCTAGAACAGGAAAAGGACATTTGGTAAAAATTAAGAAATTCAAATATAGTATGAACTTTAGTTAACAGTAATGCCTCAACACTGGCTCATCAGCTATGACAAATGTACCATAGCAATGTAAGATGTTCACAACGGAAACTGGTATGAGGTATAGGAGAATTCTATCCACTATCTCTGCAACTGTTCTATAAATCTAAAACTATTCTAAAAGAAAAAGTTTATTAGAAATGTTTTAAAAAGAACCCAAAACACAAAAATCTCTTCAAATTTACCCTATACAACAAAGTATTCACAAACCCCAAAATCAACAAAATGTGGGTGTGCCCGTCTGTCCATTCATAAGCATCCACAACTGTTGTTAGAGAAAGTAACTTCACTGCAAAAGTAGGGCCATGAATTTCAGATGATAGCGGGAATTCTAAAAAGCACAAAAAAGTGTCAGGTTGTTTACAACCAATTCTTTTCTCTGTTTAAAATATGCATATCAAATGAATCTATCTATGATTTAGTATCTTTTTTCATGTAGACTTTTTATTTCTTCAAGAATATATAATGCATCCCACTGAAACCAAAATATAAAACCATTTGTTCCTTTCATCTCAACAGTCTCTCCAGGATAGGGAGGCCAATATTTTCCAAATAGCTTTTCAGTTAATTTTTTTCACATTACAGAGAAAAAGCAAATGTTTGGAAAAATTAAATAGAGTTGAAGATCTACTGAGGTCATCGTTTTCTCCCTAAAAATGATGCCATTTATTATATTCAAAATATAACCTAAAGATACTTATAGTATTGGAAGAAATTAGTTTACATTAATAACCTTCAAGTAATATGGTTAAGTACTACTTAACTAATTTAGGGAAGATTCCTAAAAGGTAGGAGGGCCTTAATAAAATCTGCACACTTTAGATCTGTACATGTCAATGATATATAACTAAATTGAATAAAATGCTAAAATTTCAAAAGAAAAAAATACATGCAACAGAAGACTTCATTATCCTACATTCTTGCGTTCTACTCTTACAACCATACAGGCCACACCCAATTTTGGTTAGTGAGCAATAGGAAGCTCTATCAATAGGAAGCTCTAGCTAGCCTGTAAGAAAGAGTCTTTCTCACATCAATTACAGACCAGTACCATTAAAACTAAGAAGTTATCTCTGAAGGACAAAAACACCTCAACCCTGACAATCAGTGTACCTACTTACTCAGATGGCAAAGGAGAAAATGAAGTAAGTTTTCACAACTTCAATCCAAGACTCCAGGAGAGAACTTAACTGGCAAATGAAGTTTAATCATTTCGTATCTTGTGCCTGGCAGCATGTCAAAATGCTCAAGAATCACTAGTTGAATATTCTATTATTCTGCCTATCATCTCTTTCCAAATATCTGCTACTAAGAGTATAGCAATCACAGTAAAAAGGTATTACTGAATAAGTCTTACATAGCACCTATCATAGTGTAACAGGAGATCCTCAATAATTTTATTAAAATGAATTGCATGTAAAAATTTAAATATATCAAAAGCTACTGGCACTATCCATATAACTGCTATGATCCTTCATTTTATGGTTGAATAAACAAACCAATAAGGTCAAAACACATTGAAAGTCACATCAGTGACAGAGCTGGAATTAGAATATTTACTGAGCAAGGGGTGCCCTCTGCCATCCACAGCCATACCACCCTGAATGCGTCCGATTTCATCTGATCTCAGAAGCTAAATCATCTGATCTCAGAAGCTAAGCAGGGTCGGGCCTGGTTAGTACTTGGATGGGAGGATATTTACTAAGCCTACTATGTGAAAAGTACTACTCGTGGCTAATGCTTTTCAAATTCCAAGTGGTGACTAAATGATTCATAAATATCAATTTGAGTCATCTAGCACATTGTTTTTTAAACAGAGAGTATCACATGTAGTAAGGGTAATTTCTGGTTTCCAAAACTTTTTACTTTTACACACACACACACAGTATGTCACAATGTAAATGTATTTCTTACTGTAGATCATGGTCAAAGATCTGCATATTTCACAGTGGTTCCCTTTACCTATAACAATCTCTAAAATGTTCATTAGCCCTTATTAGCAGCTACTAAAATATACCTAAAATTTGGGTTAAATTGAAGTGACTTCAAAATTCCCTCTTGTCACACATTTCTAAAGAAAAATATTAATTGCTACTAAATTCTTTTTCTACTTAAGCTGTAAAAAATTAATATGCTACTAAAAATGTTTGGAAATATCTAATAATTTGAGGAAGATAATTCCAGATGCCTCTGAGGAAAATTTATTTAGAATGACTCTCAACACCTTGAAACAAATATTCCTAAATGGGAAAATTCAGTCCTCTTCAAAGAGAATATCAATAAAGTAACATATTAAAGTCTCCTCCACACCCAACTTCCTTTTACAATACCCCAGCCAGCACATACCTGTTCTTTTTCTTTCAATAGTTGCTCAAAAGCAAGAGCCTTCTCCTTCATTGAATGACACTCAAACTCTCTTTCTCGAAGCATCATAGAAAATTTCATATTAGTCTCTTGTAATGCTTGATATTCTGTTTCCTTTCCCTTGGATGTTTCTACTATTTTTTCATTCTCCCCCTTTAGTTTACTAATGTCCATTTCTAAAATTAATATTCTCTCTTTCAAGTTTGTTACTGCCTGCCTCAAAAGTTCGTTTTCATTAACTTTGTTAGTGAAATTTTCATTTGAAAAAAGTAACTGATCACTTTTGGCTTTGATTAAGAGGTCTTTTTCCTTAAGTGATTTTTGTAAAATATCTTGTTTCTCCTTGAGCTCCTTAATTTCTGAATCAGTTTGTTCATATTTTTTTCTTTCCAGCTCTGAGCTGGCAGCAATCGAGTCAGACAATCTGTGATTATTTTCCTGAAGAGTTCTAATTGTCGCATCTTTTTCTTGCAGTGATTTTCTTAGCTCTTCTATCTCTTGCTGAAGAAACTGAGAAGACTCACTCGGTACATCAGACTCACTTGCTCTAAGAGACTCTGCTGACTGGGGAGTAAGCGATGATCCAGAAGAGAGCTGGGGTGAAATAATATCAAGTTTTCCTAAAAGAAGATCCTTGGTATTACAAAGCTGCCCTATGCTGTGTTGAACTTGTGCTAATTCTTGCCCAAAATTTTTTAGTTTGGTTTCATTCTGCTCATAACTTTGGATCAGGCCAGTATAGTCCACTTGTAATTTAGAATTATTATCACTCTCAACCAAAACTTGTGCCTGAAGTTGATGAAGTTCTTCTTGAAGTTGGGCTGACTCATGTTGCATATTTTGTACTGTGGTCATAACCTGCTGTTTCCATTCTTCCATTTTCTTTACTTGCTGTTTTAATTTATCACGTTCCTGCAGGAGCTCCTCAAACTGATTACTGTTGACACCTCCAACCTCAGTACCAGAGCTAGATGTTTGTAAAACTGCCAGTAAAGTCTGACATTTCTGACTTAATGCATCTATTTCAATGTCTTTTTCTCGAATGATACGTGATAAATTCTGAACAGTTTCTCTAAACATATCTTGGCTACTGCTTTCAAATCTAGTGGACAATTTTTTATTTTCATCTTGCAGCTTAATGAGGGCTGCTTCTTTGGCAGCAACTATATCCATCATTTTGTGATATTCTGTCTTTAGATGGCTATTTTCCCTTGTCTTATCACTCAAAACAGCTAACACTTTTTCTCTTTCCATAGCATAGGCCTGCAGTTGCTGTTGAAGATAAACAATATCCTGGGTATATGAAGCTGAAGAAATTCTAGCATGAAGAGCTTGTATCTCCAAATCTTTTTGCTGGATAATCTGAGTTAGTTTACCAACCTCATCTTTGGACAACTGATCAATCTGTTTAGTTAAAGATACATTCTTTTCATTTAGAAGTTTAATCTCTAGTTCTCGTTCTTTTATTCCTTTTACTAACTTTTCAGTTTCAGCTTTAGATAAATCATGCTTTTCACTTCCATTCTCTATATTAAGGCTCTGAACTTTTGTTTCTTGAAAAATATCAGAATTCTCTGTTTGAATGTCCTGTCTTTCTTCATGCAACTGGGTTTTGATTTGTTCAATTGTTTTTTGCAAATTCTTAATTTCCTCATCTTTCTCTAAAAAGAGCTGGGTGTGGGTAACATTCATCTGCTCATGCTGGTATCTAAACTCATCCATTTCCTTCTTCTGCTCCTGTAAAGACTGAAGTAGTTGTATTTTACTCTGGTTTTGATCTTCAATTATTTTTTGGTAATGTTTAATTTCTTCTTCAAGATGATCCTTGATTATATTCAGTTGAGTTACCTCAGATTCTAGTCCAGTGATACTATCAAGGGTTTTAGGCTCAGCCACAGGAATGGCTCGACTCTGCTGTTCCCTGAGTCGTTCCAGTTCTTCTTGTAGATGATTATTTTCTTCTTTCATGGATCCAAGACTTCTATCCTTCTCCTCTATGGTCTGCCTCAAAATTTCATTTTTTCTTAAGGCCTCAGAATATTTAACTAATTCTCCTTGCAGTTCTGAACTTCTTTCTTCAAGTTTTTCAATCAAAATTTCTTTCTCATGTATAAGCTGTGTCAATTGCTTCTGCTCTTCTAAACTAGATGATAAAATTTCCTTAGTTTCTTTATTATTGGTATCCATTTGCTCAATATTCTTTTTGAGTTCATCTATTTCAAAGTCTTTCTCTCGATTGAGTTTAATTAGACGTTCATGTTCCTGCTGTAAGGCAGAGCTATTCAAATTACGTGCATTTGACAGTTCTTCAATGGTTTGCTTATACTTGTTTGCTTCTTCCAACAGTCTCTTTTCAGCTCGACACAACTCTGCTTCTATCTGTCCTTTTTCCAGTTTTAGAGTCTCCACCATAGTATTTTTTTCCAGAGAAATCTGATTGTTATCAGCAACAGTTTCTTCCAACTGATGCCTTACGTCTTCACATGCTAAAACCAACTTTTCATTTTCCATTTTGAGATCAAAAGCAACTTTCTTTAAATTTTCATTGAGCTGTTCTAGTTCTGAAAGATTTTGCTTTAAGTTTCTAACTTCTGCTTCTCTTTCTTTAAGTATGTTATCCTTACAATTACTGCTAGAGTCTTGATTAAGAGACTGAGTTAACTCATTTCTGACTCTAGAAAGCTCCTCCTCATTTTGTCTAATATGTTCCTTCAGTTCAAAGTTCTCCTTCTGGGTGTTTAAATTATTTTTTTGTGATTTATTTAGCTGATCTACTAAATCTTCTACTTTATCCTCAAGCTTCTGCTTGGTTAAATGTAATTCATTTAGGACTAGTTCACTTTGAATTAACTTATCTTTCTGCACATCTAACTCCTTAGTAATGTTCATTTTATCATCTTCAAGTTGATGAACTCTCTTTTTTTCATCATCTAGATCTTGTTTCAGTTTACTGATGATGCTATCTCCTTCATTTCGTTGTTTTGATAGCTGATCTTTTATCAAAATCATGTGCTGAAAGAAAAATTAATTTGCATAACTTTACATTTGCTCATCTTAGTACCTAAAGAAAATTTTATAAAATTTTCATAATTTTATATAACAGAAGAATAATCCTCAGATATTTCTAACCCTTTTTAAAACAATTTTTTTCTACCACAACATCTCCTACAAAATTATTTACTAATATCTTACAGCAAATCCATTTTGTCTTTTTTTAATTTTATCATTTTCAGGATAAGAATTTAAAACCAAAGATAGTAAAATTAAGTTTATTTATTTTTAACTCTTTTTTTTTTTTTGAGACAGAGTCTCGCTTTGTTGCTCAGGCCAGAGTGAGTGCCGTGGCGTCAGCCTCGCTCACAGCAACCTCAAACTCCTGGGTTCAAGCAATCCTACTGCCTCAGCCTCCCCAGTAGCTGGGACTACAGGCATGCACCACCATGCCCGGCTAATTTTTTTCTATATATATATTAGTCGGCCGATTAATTTCTTTCTGTTTATAGTAGAGACCGGGTCTTGCTCTTGCTCAGGCTGATTTCGAACTCCTGACCTCTAGCAATCTGCCCACCTCGGCCTCCCAGAGTGCTAGGATTACAGGCGTGAGCCACCACGCCCAGCCTATTTTTAACTCTTAAACACTAGCTCAGGAGTCAACAAAGTATAGCTGATGGGCCAAATCAGGCATGATGCCTGTTTTTATAAATAAAATTTCATTGAACACAGCCACACTCATATGTTTATATATCCTAACAGCAGACTTGAGTAGTTGTAACTAAGACCGTATGGCTTGCAAAGCCAAAAATATTTACTATTAAGCACTTCACACAAAAAAATTTCTCATAGCACAGTCATAGCATTGTAAAAAAAAAAAAAAAAAAAAAATTTCTCAATCTCTATGACTCGGGCATTAATGAACTAAAATATTAATTAAATCACAAAATTTAATTACACCCGCTGTTTCTGCATGTTAATCCAGTATTAAGTCTACCTCACTGGGCTTAATAGAATACTACCTTTGTAGCGCTTGGTTCTGTTTGTCCAATTCTTCTAACTCAGCTACCAGTATTTCCTTTTCATTAATACTCTGATTAAGTTCTTGTTCCTTTGCCTCCAAATTAAGTCTTAGGTCATGTAATTCTGAATCCAAACTCATGTCTCTTGTAGCTGTACTTTGATTACTTCATATTCATTGTTCAATTTTAAAAGTGATATCTGAAGTTCCTGAAATAATAAAAGGGAAAAGCAACACATATTGTCAAACAAAAAGGAGACACCAAAAGATTAAAAATATATATAAATATAATTGGGAATCTATTATAAATGCTCTCTACTAGAATCATACTGATATCTCAATAATGATATATAAAATTCAACAAACTATGGCCTTCATGTGCAATTTTATTTGTATCTTCAAACAAAACATTTCTATAACCCTAGATGAGATGCAAAGATTGTAAGACTGTCTTCTAGCTCCAATTCTTTAGACAAAAAGTCTCCATTTGAGAGCCTAAATTCCTTAATTAAAAGAACCTGAGATATACCTCATAAATGAGACCCAATGAAAGCTGTAATAGAGCATCTGCATTACAAATCTTATTTCCTTCTAATTCAAAAGTTTATTTTAAATTACATCTGGAAGATGGAAATAGCATTCTCTTATGTCTTTGTAAAGTTATCTATTCAATTAGGAGAACCACATTTTTTTCAGGTGGATCTTGAAAGCACCTTGTAGGTACTTTTGACATTCTTAATCAGTAGGCAGACCCATGGCAGACACAGTTCAAGAAAGTGTTACAACAGACTACTTAATATCAAAAGAAAGGAGAATCAGCTACCAGGAACAGCTACAGAATCCAAAAACATCATGAAAAGGTTATAGGTCCTACAGAGATATGGGCAGAGAGGTCTGCAAACTCAATCAGATAAAGAGCAGAATACAAAGGGAGCAGAAACAGAACAGAGAAAAAATATATAATATAGTAATAAAAAATGACTGGGAGACACTACTGGCACGTAGTGAGTAGAAAAAGGGGTAGCAAGAATCACACAGCACATAGGACAATGCACACAACTAAGAATTTTCCCACTTAAATGCCAACAGCGCCCCCCCTTTGAGAAACATTGCTTATATACTAATGTGGAAAGCTGTTGAAAACATACTGTCAAGATATGTAAGAGCAGTATTGACAGTATGCTCATATTTGTATTTTTAAAGTTATTTATATATATAATCATACATGCATAGATACAGTCTGGAAAGAAATATCAGAAATTGGTAAGAGACTGCCTCTGGGAAAGAGGCCAAGCAAAAGAAGTGCAAAGGGTAGATATACCACTTACTGTCTGAAGTTTGTCAATATGTATTATTGAACACAAATATCACTAAATAGGTATTACTTTTAAAAAGCTAAGAATTTAAATTAAGACTTATGACTGCCCTATATTTAAATACCTGCGTTAGCCCAGGAATTACTCCCAAGTGGTATAAACAAAAATACCTCTCCCCATACAGAATCTTATTCCATCCTTGCCACCAATACACAAAAAAGTACCTTATTTCTACCACTGAATTGCTCCTCTTTGCCCCTCACCACTAATAAATTCCTGTCCACCACAACAGACACATTCTGAGGCATATAAGCAGTTATTACAGTATGCTACTCCAAACCTCCTGACCCACCTGTGTATGCTGCTATTGTCAGAACTTCATCTGCAACCAAAACAGGGCCATTAAGTATGTTTCCTATTCCTATCTGTGTGCCTAATTTATCTCTAAACATAAACTCTGGCCAGTCTGTCATATTCTGAACCTTGCCCAGGTACTTCAACCTGTCTTGACAAGCATCAGTGAGATCAGCTTTGCCTTCAGGACTCTCAATAACTAAACATTTAATTTTGATATAAACTGGCCTTTAGCTGTGAATTATTAATACACACAGCATTTTAATTCTGCCCCCATTTTTACAGCACCCACCTTTTCTTGACTCAATAATGCCTTCTCTTTTTCTAAAACTTGAACTTGCATTTTAAGTTTCAGATTGTCTTCAGCAAGACTGTCATCCTACAAAAATGTGAAAGCAGTGTTTTCAGATGACAAGAAATTCCCAGTTTACAAAAAAAATAGGCAAGCTATATAACTGTGCACTTCAACTCAGTATTTCTTTTGTGATATATAAAAATTATAAGAATGAAACATTGGAAGATCTAAAGCAAATCATTAACTTTAGGTATTCTTATAGATAAGGGATTTATTATATTCAAAAAATATAAAAATATATTTGGAAAATAACTTGTAATGATTAGAAAAAGAAACAACTGCCTGAATTCCTTAAGAAAGATCAAAATGCATTTCTCACTTTGATATAGGATTTGCTTCTACTATCTCTACACATACAACACTTACCAAATTAATCTTTAAAGAGATATACTCACATTTTTCAATTATGAAACTTCTTAAATTATGTCAATTTATGATGCAAAAAGTTTGTTATTAATAGGCAAACATAAGATTACTGAGATGAAAGTTCCTAGGGTTAGTTCTCATGAATTTGTTTTAAAAAAAAGACATAAAATAAAGCAACTATAATAAATCAAAATTGTTTTTCTTAGTAAACCAATGATGAAAGCTTTTTCCTTCAAAATGAATTTACCTGGTTTAAACTACTCAGTCTCATTATTTCATTTTCTGCATCTGTAAAAGCAAATGAATTGCCTGTTTTTATAAATAAAATTTCATTGAACACAGCCACACTCATATGTTTATATATCCTAACAGCAGACTTGAGTAGTTGTAACTAAGACCGTATGGCTTGCAAAGCCAAAAATATTTACTATTAAGCACTTCACACAAAAAAATTTCTCATAGCACAGTCATAGCATTGTAAAAAAAAAAAAAAAAAAAAAAAAAATTTCTCAATCTCTATGACTCGGGCATTAATGAACTAAAATATTAATTAAATCACAAAATTTAATTACACCCGCTGTTTCTGCATGTTAATCCAGTATTAAGTCTACCTCACTGGGCTTAATAGAATACTACCTTTGTAGCTGCTTGGTTCTGTTTGTCCAATTCTTCTAACTCAGCTACCAGTATTTCCTTTTCATTAATACTCTGATTAAGTTCTTGTTCCTTTGCCTCCAAATTAAGTCTTAGGTCATGTAATTCTGAATCCAAACTCATGTCTCTTGTAGCTGTACTTTTGATTACTTCATATTCATTGTTCAATTTTAAAAGTGATATCTGAAGTTCTTCCTGAAATAATAAAAGGGAAAAGCAACACATATTGTCAAACAAAAAGGAGACACCAAAAGATTAAAAAATATATATAAATATAACTTGGGAATCTATTATAAATGCTCTCTACTAGAATCATTACTGAATATCTCAATAATGATATATAAAATTCAACAAACTATGGCCTTCATGTGCAATTTTATTTGTATCTTCAAACAAAACATTTCTATAACCCTAGATGAGATGCAAAGATTGTAAGACTGTCTTCTAGCTCCAATTCTTTAGACAAAAAGTCTCCATTTGAGAGCCTAAATTCCTTAATTAAAAGAACCTGAGATATACCTCATAAATGAGACCCAATGAAAGCTGTAATAGAGCATCTGCATTACAAATCTTATTTCCTTCTAATTCAAAAGTTTATTTTAAATTACATCTGGAAGATGGAAATAGCATTCTCTTATGTCTTTGTAAAGTTATCTATTCAATTAGGAGAACCACATTTTTTTCAGGTGGATCTTGAAAGCACCTTGTAGGTACTTTTGACATTCTTAATCAGTAGGCAGACCCATGGCAGACACAGTTCAAGAAAGTGTTACAACAGACTACTTAATATCAAAAGAAAGGAGAATCAGCTACCAGGAACAGCTACAGAATCCAAAAACATCCAAAAACAAAGGTTATAGGTCCTACAGAGATATGGGCAGAGAGGTCTGCAAACTCAATCAGATAAAGAGCAGAATACAAAGGGAGCAGAAACAGAACAGAGAAAAAATATATAATATAGTAATAAAAAATGACTGGGAGACACTACTGGCACGTAGTGAGTAGAAAAAGGGGTAGCAAGAATCACACAGCACATAGGACAATGCACACAACTAAGAATTTTCCCACTTAAATGCCAACAGCGCCCCCCCTTTGAGAAACATTGCTTATATACTAATGTGGAAAGCTGTTGAAAACATACTGTCAAGATATGTAAGAGCAGTATTGACAGTATGCTCATATTTGTATTTTTAAAGTTATTTATATATATAATCATACATGCATAGATACAGTCTGGAAAGAAATATCAGAAATTGGTAAGAGACTGCCTCTGGGAAAGAGGCCAAGCAAAAGAAGTGCAAAGGGTAGATATACCACTTACTGTCTGAAGTTTGTCAATATGTATTATTGAACACAAATATCACTAAATAGGTATTACTTTTAAAAAGCTAAGAATTTAAATTAAGACTTATGACTGCCCTATATTTAAATACCTGCGTTAGCCCAGGAATTACTCCCAAGTGGTATAAACAAAAATACCTCTCCCCATACAGAATCTTATTCCATCCTTGCCACCAATACACAAAAAAGTACCTTATTTCTACCACTGAATTGCTCCTCTTTGCCCCTCACCACTAATAAATTCCTGTCCACCACAACAGACACATTCTGAGGCATATAAGCAGTTATTACAGTATGCTACTCCAAACCTCCTGACCCACCTGTGTATGCTGCTATTGTCAGAACTTCATCTGCAACCAAATCAGGGCCATTAAGTATGTTTCCTATTCCTATCTGTGTGCCTAATTTATCTCTAAACATAAACTCTGGCCAGTCTGTCATATTCTGAACCTTGCCCAGGTACTTCAACCTGTCTTGACAAGCATCAGTGAGATCAGCTTTGCCTTCAGGACTCTCAATAACTAAACATTTAATTTTGATATAAAACTGCCTGTTAGCTGTGAATTATTAATACACACAGCATTTTAATGCTGCCCATTTTTACACACCCACCTTTTCTTGACTCAATAATGACTTCTCTTTTCTAAAACTTGAACTTGCATTTAAGTTTCAGAGTTGTCTTCAGCAAGACTGTATCCACAAAAATGTGAAAGCAGTGTTTTCAGATGACAAGAAATTTCCAGTTTACAAAAAAAACAGGCAAGCTATATAACTGTGCACTTCAACTCAGTATTTCTTTTGGATATATAAAAATTATAAGAATGAAACATTGGAATCTAAAGCAAATCATTAACTTTAGGTATTCTTATAGATAAGGGATTTATTATATTCAAAAAATATAAAAATATATTTGGAAAATAACTTGTAAGATTAGAAAAGAAAAACTCCCTGAATTCCTTAAGAAAGATCAAAATGCATTTCTCACTTTGATATAGGATTTGCTTCTACTATCTCTACACATACAACACTTACAAATTAATCTTTAAAGGATATACTCACATTTTTCATTATGAAACTCTTAAATTATGTCAATTTATGATGCAAAAAGTTTGTTATTAATAGGCAAACATAAATTACTGAGATGAAGTTCCTAGGGTTAGTTCTCATGAATTTGTTTAAAAAAAGACATAAAATAAAGCAACTATATAAATCAAAATTTTTTTCTTAGTAAACCAATGATGAAAGCTTTTTCCTTCAAAATGAATTTACCTGGTTTAAACTACTCAGTCTCATTATTTCATTTTCTGCATCTGTAAAAGCAAATGAATTTGACATTAAAATTATTTAGAATAACTTATTACTTCCTACATTAAACTCAGGAATGCAACCCAGTTAACATATTAACTGCCATGTGAGTTGTATATGACTCACAATAGTTCTGAGCCCAGGGCCTCATGAAGCATATGTAACTCACGTCTCTTCAACTTGGGAGCCACGAGAACTATTTTTCAAGTTGCATATAACTGATATACAGAAAACAATAAAAAAATAACAAATTTTTCATTAAATTAGAAAGGACCATTTTGCTTTTGAAATTTTTATTCTATTTTCCTCATAAACCACCATGGTCCCAAAGAAAAAACTTTTTCTACTGTAGTAGTCAATGTGTTAAAACAAAGTATATATCTAAAAACAATTAGCAAGCACTAACAGTTCTGAGTGAATATTTTTATTTAATATCACTATTTTGACTTTATCAAATAAATAAAAATATAAATGCCAGTTAAAAAGCATGTTAAAATCCAATTCTATGGAAAAAAATGTCAGACAGAATTATAATTGTATTCTGGGTGAGTCATAAGTTACTGCCTTGATAAAAAAACTAACAACTACGTTTCAAAACAAGTTGATTAGTTTGAGTAGCAGGAAACAGTACAAGGTCTAAGATTTGAAGAAAATAACTTAAAAGTAATAAATGTGTATTTATACCACAAATAATCTCTCAATTATCTAAAATAATTCTGACATGACTGCTGATAAAAAGACCATTCAGTCTGGTATTACAAATAGATCCAAAATTGAAAAAATTCTAGAAGAGGAACACAAAGACAATATCCTGAGATCAGCTGAATTAACTGATTTAACATTCATTAAGGACATACTGAGCATTTATTATATTATTTGTATATATAATATTATAATATTTATTATATTACTATGAGGCCAGGTACTAGACAACAAACTGGAAAAATTTAGTCTGCTCTCAAAGAGCTTACAATTCAAAAAACTAGCAAACACATGATTACAATACAGTGTGATATAGCAAGTACGAGGTGCTATGAGAGCAAAAAGGGCAAACAAACATCTGGCTAGATGTGGTGGCTCACATCTATAATCCCAGCACTTGGGAGACCAAGGCTAGAGGATTACTTAAGGTCAAGAGTTCAAAACCAGCCTGGGCAATATAGTGAGGCCTCATCTCTACAAACTAGTTGAGCATGGTGGCATGCACCTGTAGTCCCAGCTACTTGGGAGGCTGGGGCAGGAGGATCACTTGAGTCCAGGAATTCAAGGCTGCAGTGAACTATGAATCCTATCACTGTACTCCAGCCTGGGTGACAGAGCAAGACCCTGTTCTCAAGAAAAAAAGAAGGTGGGGAGGGAAAGTAGCTAATTTAGCACAGGGGGAGTGAAAAGGGCTAGGGAAGCAGCAGTACTAGGTAACTCCCAGGGGAAGTAATACCTACACTGAATCAATACACTATGAGTTAGCTAAAAGAGACATGGAGATACTCCACACAGAGAACGCAGCAAATGCAAAGGTGACAGAGAGAAGAGGCAACATTGCTGGTTGAAGGACCTACAGAAAGTTCAATATGGCTAAAGCTTAGAATGTTTAGAGAACAAGAAGAGTAGACGCTGAACAGTAGACATGAACTAGATCGTGATAGATATATTTCCAATTAAGAAGTTTAGACTTTATCATGAAGTTCACCGAGAGCCACAAAGTACTAAAAGCAGGAGAATAACCTGCTTTGCATTTCTGAAAAATTATTCTGGCTGTAGAATGAAAAAAATGGATTGAAGAAGGAATTATGGAGATCGGAGAATAAAAAGCTAACACTTTTATAATATTTACTATTGGCTAGACACTGTCTTAAAAAGGACGCTGCAGCTAGTGACTTATAGAAATCGTCATTAATACTATTAATACAACAACTACGAGGATGATATTATTAATATCCTAACCCTATGGATGAATAAACCAAGGCATAGAGATGTTAACTAACTTGCCCAAGGTTAGCTAGTTAGTGATAGAGCTGGATTCCAACCCTGTTATTAACCACTGTGCTATTCTGCACTGTTAAGAGATTTGTTGTAGTTAACATAGAGAAAAAGCAATTATGACTGGCTGAAGTAATTCCATGACAATGGAAATGGAAAAAAGGAGGAGGACTAGGGCAGGTTTGTTTTTTAAGCAAATAAACTAATATGGATCACCCAATATGACAAATAATTATGTAAGTTTATTTATTCATTTATTTTTCAAGATAGAGTCTCACTCAGTTGTGCAGTGGTGCGTTCATAGCTTACTGCAGTCTCAAACTCCTGGGCTCAAGCAATTCTCCTGCTTCAGCCTCTTGAATAGGTGGGACTACAGACGTGCAGCTAATTTTTTTTCTTTTTCTTTCTTTCTTCTTTTTTTTTTTTTACATTGATGAAGATCAATGTAAAACAGAACATTGATCAATGTAAATCAGAACATCTTTTTTTTTTTTTAAGAGATAAGGTCTCTCTATGTTGCCCATGCTGGTCTCAAACTCCTGGCCTCAAGCAATCCTCCCACGTTGCTGAGATTATAAGCGTGAGCCACCATACACAGCTTCATAAATTTATTCTTTAAAAAGCAGAGCTACTTTGATTGAACTCAATAAGAAAGAAGTCCAGAACTCCACTGTACTACTTTCCCTTTGCCTGCATGGCAGTTTCCTAGACTGGTGCACCTGTGAGAAACTCTAGAGCTTTTCTAGGATATAATCCTGAAACATCACTAAACCAGACAGCTAAGAAAATAGAACTTCCAGGACTTGCTAGGTGAGGATTCCCAGGCTTTCTGTTTTGGGAAGCTGTAAATGCTACGAATCACCAAGGTAGGGAAAGGAAGAGGAGAAGGAGGACACTAACTTAACTTTGAAACTAACTTAAGTTTGAAATTCCATGTGATGTACAGAGAGTTAGCTGTCTAGATCAGGAGCTCATGATAAACTACTGGGTGAGGGATACAGATGGTGAGGGGGTGACAAGCACAAGGGCTGGAAACCTTCAAAGGATGAATAAATGAGTTCATAAAATTAGAGTTTATACCATGAGGAGAGGGCAAAGTGCAAAACAAAATGCATCTTTTCAGCAAAAGAGCTCCCTTTGTTTTCCTGGCATGAATGAATACTGGTGTTTGGCCTATTTCATTTAGTACTTATTTTTTTTGTAGCACAGAATACTAATACAGTAACTAAATATCATCTTGAGCATAGAAAATGGTAAAAGACCTATGGCTCTTGTCACTCAGGCCTTTGCTTCAATACAGGAGATCATTTCAAAAGTGCATAATAGATTTTTGAAGAAGAAAAGATGCATTCCCTAATGGGAGCGTCCAGGTCCTGGTGAGTTACAGAAAGTATTCACTTCAGTATAGGTTAAAAGAAACAGAACCATCTTCCTAACAATGTCTACATACACAAACATTTCTCAGAAATCCACTTGGCTTCCACAATCAATGAGCTCCATGTAAATACTTAAAGGATAAGAAAGGGAGGTTGAGAAACACCTAGCCAATACTTTTCCCTTTTTAGTAGAAAATTCCTATTTGCAATCTATTAACTATGGTAATGAATCCAAAGCAAATAATTCTACTCCAATTACACACAGCCATTTACATGAGCACTCCATTTACACAAGTATACTATTATTCAAGTATTTGTCTCTAAAAACAACTAGTAGGCAATGAAACACCAATCTGAAATAAGTTTCAAACATTTTATACCAGACAGTGCTTGCCGTAGTCTGAACACTTCTTCCACTGATGTGCTCTGTGGAAGAATCCTTTCCTTTTCTGTCACAGTATCATTTTGCTGCAATTTACTACATTCCAATTTCAAGCTTTCACATTCTTCAATTATTTGTCTCTTTTCCACATTTAGCTGTTCTTGTTCTCTTCTCAAAACATCTCTGTCATTTTCTACAGAAGATAATTTTTTATTTATGTCTTTTATTTGATCCTCAAGTTCTTCAATTTTTTTTGTAGACTCTACTTTTTCAGTTTGTAGAACTTGAATATTTTTTTGCATCTCCTGGATTTTAGAGTGATCAGTTTCTACAACTCCAGAGCCACCTAGAACATAAACATAAAATCAAGGACATCAAATGTCAAGTACCAAGAAATAAATAGCTTGCTATATACAACTAAAAGATTTAAGAGATTTCAGACTTTGGAAAGCTTAAAAAGAAAAGTTAATTACTATAATAAACTAAGTATTTCTAAATAAATAAAAAGCTGGGAAAAGATTTGTGAATCAACTACTTAAAAAAGCCTACGGGCCGGGCGTGGTGGCTCACGCCTGTAATCCTAGCTCTCTGGGAGGCCGATACGGGCGGATTGCTCAAGGTCAGGAGTTCGAAACCAGCCTGAGCAAGAGCGAGACCTCGTCTCTACTATAAATAGAAAGAAATTAATTGGCCAACTAATATATATAGAAAAAATTAGCCGGGCATGGTGGCGCATGCCTGTAGTCCCAGCTACTCGGGAGGCTGAGGCAGGAGGATCGCTTGAGCCCAGGAGTTTGAGGTTGCTGTGAGCTAGGCTGACGCCACGGCACTCACTCTAGCCTGGGCAACAAGTAAGACTTTGTCTCAAAAAAAAAAAAAAAAGCCTATGTATCTGAATTTGAAAGAAAGTGAAAATATCTCTAATCATTTATACCAAAGTGTCATCACCAACAATGCAAATCTATGAATAATAACTACCACATCTATGAATAATAACTATGAATAATAACAACCACAAAAGCAAAAGGACCTTTCCATTTGTGCAGAATCTTGACAGTGGTGCGTGGTGCCATTGCAAATTTCCAGCAGATTAACAGAACTAGACATTTACTCATTCTTTAGAATTTAGTCCAAGTTTATAGCAGTGTCCTGGTCTTAGAGTGCTAGCTTTGTCATTTACTTATGTCATCTAATATGTTATATTAATAAAACTAATAACCTTGCTGTAACAGATTTTCAAGTTCTTCAATTCGTTCCTCATAGTCACTTAATTCCTCTCGATGCCGACGAGTTATTTCTGTCAATTTCTGTTGATGTGCATTCTGCAATACTGACATTTCATGTTGATGGTCATCAATTTCTTGACTTCGGTTCTGTTTAAGTTCCTTAAAAAATAAAAACAAAGTTAACCAAATTTATAATCAATAGATTTACCTAAGCTGTTTATTTCACTGCTGTCCAAAAGTCTGCATCATTAAAAATAATTCTTTGAACATATAAAGGCTAAAAAGAATTCAAACATAGGCCCCAAACTAGGACAATTCTGAAAGACTCCACCCTTTCCTTTCATAGGTCTTAAAATCAGTTTTTCTACTATTAATGAGGGAACATCAGCAAGAAATCACTGAAACAAGATAGCCAAAAATGTCTTCCCTTAGTATCTATGACTACGAACTTCTCCTTTTCCTAATGACATATTCTACCAATATCTGTATCAACCCTCTGGCCAATCTGTACCTGCTGTCCTCTCACTCAGCCTTTCCTTTCACCAGTCTTTTCTGGACAGGCAAACTATTAACCAAGGTGCCTTGCTATCCATGTTGAGATCATCAGCGTCTCTCCCAGGAACCTAGATCTGGAGTTGAGTCCCTCAACCAGGGAAGCTGGTTGTATGGGAAGTGTTATGACAGCTGCACCCTCAAGAGCCTTGTCACCGTGTCCCACCACCCAGATTCCTGACTCTGTTCCCACTCCTCTTCTTCCTGAGGCCAGAATACTCAACTCCTCCTTCAATCCTATGGATGGACAACTCTAATAGACCAAGATTTCTTCCAGTAAATCCTCTTTTGCTTAATTAGCCAGATATGATTTTTGCTGCTTATAACCAACAATCCTAAATTAGCTTCTATTTCTTGAGAAGACAAGTAAAAGTTATCCTATGTACTTTAATCCTATGCACTTATTTATGTGCCAGCACTGGGGTAAAAGCTTTACATTTAAACCTCAAAACAAGGTAGGCATTATAACAGTATCTACTTTATTGATAATAAAACACAAGTTTGAAAAGGTTAAATAATTTGCCCAAAGTAGCACAGGTGGTAAATAAACAGCCAACATTTAAACACAGGTCTGACTCTAGAACTTACCCACATGAGTATGATAATAATAAAACCAAAAGCTAAAAAGTCTGAATCTGACAATAATTTAAACATTAAAACAATTCATTGTCACAATAAATACATGTAACTAAGATTTTTCTTGGAAGAAATAATTGACACAAACTAGCTAAATTCCACCGCTAAGGTGAAATAATTATTTACAATGAATAATACTGGTATTTTATCTTGTCAATATCCTTTAACCCTTAATCTTGAAACCTCAGCAACCTTGGAATTCTGTTTTAATACAGTTTTACAAGATAGAGTGTAGAGACTTATGAAATATAAACTAGTTAATAAACGTTCAAAACCAAGTAATTTTAGAAAGACAGATTTTTATATACATTACTTGTCATAAAGAATAAGGAAGATCCAAAACATTAAAAAAGAAATGAGTATTTTATAACTGAGACTTTTGCTAATTTAGGCTTATGCTTTTAATAAACGGATTTCAGATGTATAATAGTCACAGTCAACAATTTGATTACCTTAATGATATTTTGTAGTTTACAGATTTCACTTTGATCAGAGCTATGTGTTCCTTGTGCTTTAGAAGTCTAGATCAGAAAAGGAGAATTAGAAAATAATTAAGAAATTATACTGTTTCCTGTAAAGTAGAAAGTCATACACTAACTGAGATATAATACTTTTCAAAAAAGAGGCATTTCCCAGACAGATTCTGATTAAAGAATGCCAAGTACCTTTTAAAGAACCTAGCCCAACAGTAATACACAATAAATAAAAGATACTATATTCAAGAATTTACTAACTGGGAAGACAGCAGTTTTACAAAATAAAGATGGAAAAAATTATAGACTGTATTACTTAGCATAACAAAATAGATGTGGAGATAACTGGGCAGCTTTCTAAAAGGAAATTTCTAAAATGGAAAGTTATTCAACATTAATAATGATTCAGTAAAAATCTTAAAAAATTATTTTACCCAGAAGATATATTCTCCAATAGAGAATAATCTTTGGTTTGACAAGTAAATAAAAGAAAGAATTTTGGGATTCTTCTCTCATTCAAAGCTACATGTTGTTCATTTATTTTTATTAACATTTACTATTTAGCATGCTAATGAACCAAAAGCTGCTCTAGTGCTGAAAGAAGGAACACAGTATTATAATGGAATGAACACATGATTTGGAGTCAAAACACATGTGTTTGAACTATAACTTAATAACCATGGCAATGTGTATATTAAACTAAATTTTAGTTTCCTTTTATGCAAAATAGAGGTAATAAATATGTCACATAGTTATTAAAGATAATATAATGAATTGGAATAATATATATGGGAGCATCTTATAAGGCATACTACAAATATTAATTATGCCTTGCTAGAAAATTAAATCCCCTGAAAGGTCTCAATGATGCTTTTTCACCTGTATATTCCAGGACAGGTTTGTCATAGAATAGGCATTCAAAATAAGCTAAAGAGAACAAATCAAATACCCTTCTCTTTCCTATGGAATTCTACCCTAAGAGCAATATTTCTTAAAATATATTCTTCCAATTATCAGAATCACCTAGAATATTTATTTGTTTGAATGTATTTTTTATGACTCTAAAATATACTACTAAATTGAACTCTGAAAGTAGAACAGGGAGTCTACAATATTATCAAGTTCCCCAGGTTACTCTTACACATACAAAATTTAAGAACTACTGCCTTTTTTTTTTTTTTTTTTTTTTTTTGAGACAGAGTCTCGCTTTGTTGCCCAGGCTAGAGTGAGTGCCATGGCGTCAGCCTAGCTCACAGCAACCTCAATCTCCTGGCTCAAGCAATCCTCCTGCCTCAGCCTCCCAAGTAGCTGGGACTACAGGCATTCGCCACCATGCCCGGCTAATTTTTTCTATATATATATTAGTTGGCCAATTAATTTCTTTCTATTTATAGTAGAGACGGGGTCTCGCTCTTGCTCAGGCTGGTTTCGAACTCCTGACCTCGAGCAATCCGCCCGCCTCGGCCTCCCAGAGAGCTAGGATTACAGGCGTGAGCCACCGCGCCCGGCCGAACTACTGCTTTTTGAAGATAAAATGGACAAACAAGCCATCTTCTCTAAGGTTATTTTAGGTATTGGAAATGTCTAGCAACTTGGAAAGCAAGGAGGTAATTTAAATTGGCATTTCTCCTTTACATAACTGGATTACATTCACAAAACGATATAAAATAATCTCTTTGCTTATAAACTCTGTTTTTTTCTACATTGATAAAATCAAATCCAAATGAACAATGTTCCAGTTTATTATAGGTCTCAGGTCTACTGACAACCTCCATAGTATATAGGTTGAGCATCCTTAATCTGAAAATCCAAAATCCAAAATGCTCCAAAATTTAAAACTTTCTGAGTGTAAACATGATGCCACATTGGAAAATTCCATACATAAGTCCTTAACAAAAATTTTGTTTAATGCATAAAACTATTAAAAATATACAAAAGTACTTTCAGGCTAGGTGTAGAAGGTGTTTATGAAACATAAATGAATTTCGTTTTTAGACTTAGGCCCCATCCTCAAGATGTCTCAATATGTTTATGCAAATATTCCAAAATCTAAAAAAATCTGAACTCCAAAACATATCTGGTCCTAAGCATTTTCGATAAAGGATACCCAACCTGCATAAAATAGGATATGTAAGACAAAAAGGATTCCTTGGAAAAAAGTTTACAGCCCCATATAGTAAGGATTTAATTTCTAAGGCATGAGAAACAACACAAAATAGCTTACCCTGTTTTACAACACCAATTATCAGATTTTCATTTTACATATAACTAGAGCTAATAGAACCCCCCAGACAGCATCTAATCAGTTACAAACACAGTGCCTTGAAGTCCTACTGTTTCCAACAGAAAAGCTTCAGGGAAAAGGTGCTGGTTCAATCACAGCAACTCAGTTTTTATCTCTTCTGAGTCCTGGATTTGTAATGTTTTATTTTTAAAAATGGATCTGTTGCTTTAAATTCTTTTTGAAAATTTTTCCAAATATTACACAGAAAGGGAAACTGAGGCTTGGAAAGAAAGATGACATGACCAAAATCACTTAGAAAGTCACCAGCAGAATCAGAATACAGGTTTTCTATTTTCAACTCCAGGGTTCTTTTTGATACCAAAAGCTCTACATGTACCTTTCTATATAACACTAGTATTTTTACACAGTTTTCAAAAACTCATAAAAATTGTACTTACCTGAGCAATATGCCTCCAATGGCCAACTTCAGACTCTAGTCTTGAAACTTCATTTGATAATCTGTTTATTTCTTGTTGTGATGAAATTATGTCACCAAAGTCCATGCCATCATCATGGAAAGTTGAAGCATGACTGAGCCCATAACCAAATGAAGAAGATGCAGTGGTTGCTGGTACACTACCAGCTTCTGTGTGTGTTGACTGAGCAGCTGACTGCAATTTCAGAAATTGTTCCTGTAGCGCAATCTGTCTTGCTTTAAGATGGCTGATTTCTACCTATATATTTATAATGCATGTTTTAAAGAATGTACTTTAAACATACTGACCTTTTTATAGATTTATAGTATTAAAAAGTATAATAATCTAAGATTATCCAATGATGGTACTCTATTAACTATGATAATCATGGTTTTTTTAAAATAAAAAGTGTTACACTTAGGCTAGATAATAAATTAGGTTTCATAAATCAGAAATTGTAAGCAACAGATGCTTAAAGATATTTTATACAAAATCTTTTCTCCTTTTGGAAAGAAGAAATTAAACTCCACAAAGGTTTATATAATATAAACTCAACAGAAAAGTTTATAAAGTTCTTGTTAAGTTAGTGATAATCAAATGGAGATGGGAATTATTAAATGCAACACCCTTTCAATTATTATTATTTTTTGACACAGGGTTTCTGTTGCCTGGGATAGAGAGCAGTGGCATCATCATAGCTCATAGCAACCTTAACCTCTTAGGCTCAAATGATCCTCCTGCCTCAGGTTCCTGAGTCTTTCAATATTTGTATGGATCTAAATATAGCTTGATTTATAACTCCTAAAACATTCCTAAATACATTACAGTGAAATACACGTGAAATAACTATAATAACTTTTACCTCTTTCTGTTGTAGTTGATTTCGGTAACTTGTAGATTGCTGCTTTATTTGAAGCTCTGATGCTTCATGCTTCTCTTCTAGATCAGTACAAAGTTTCTTAAGTCTTTCATTCTAGAAGTAAATAAAAAAGTATTTTCAACAAAAAGAATGTAAGTAAAACATGTTAGTAATAGCTATGTGCATGGCATTATGAAAAATGTATTGCTTCATACAAAAGAACGATATAAGGCTGGGCATGCTGGCTCACACCTATAATCCTAGCACTCTGGGAGGCCAAGGTAGGAGAATCACTTGAGCTCAGGAGTTTAAGACCAGCCTGAGCAAGAGTGAGACCCCAGCTCTACTAAAAATAGAAAAAATTAGCTGAGTGTCCTGGCACGTACCTGTAGTCCCAGCTACTTGAGACTTAGGCAGAAGGATCGCTTGAGACGAGGAGTTTGGGGTTGCTGTGAACTAGGCTGATACCACAGCACTCTAGCATGGGCAACAGAGCAAATATCTCAAAAAAAGAAAAGAAAAGAAAAAAGATGTAAAATATAAAAAGTCCCAAACAGGACAGGTGCTGTGGCTTACATGTGTAATTCCAGCACTTTGGGAGGCTGAAGCAGGAGGAAGGAATGCTTGAGCCCAGGTATTTGAAACCAACCTGGGCAACATAGAGAGATCCAGTCTCAAAAAAAAAAAAAAAAAAATCAAAAAATTAGCCAGGCGTGGTGTCACAGGCCTAGAGTCCCAGCTACTCAGGAAGGCTGAGGCAGGATAATCACTTGAGACCAGGGATTAGAGTTTGCAGTAAGCTATAATGACACCCCTGTACTCCAGCCTGGGTAATACAGAAAGATCCTGTATCCATATATTTCAAACAAACAAATAAACAAAACAGGTCCCAGACAGAGATCTGGCTTTTAAAATACACTTTCAAATTAAAGTCACAAATGTATTAAGTATATTTATATAGAATATGCCTCATTCTAAACCAAAAGGGAAAAATTAACATTTTTCTCAGTTTGAGTTACTGCTAAGAAAAAGCCACTGATCAGTATTTCCCCATCCTCATGGGTTTCCCCCATAACCAGTACTGAGCACAGAGTAGGCACCACCTGTCTAGTAAATGAAAGGATCACATGTCTGAGCTTTTGTTTACTCCCCAAACAGAACTTTTTAAAAGAGATCTTTTAAGAAGAGATTTCTGGCTGTCGTATAGGTAGGAGGCTAAAATCTCACGTTACTTGTTTGTCTCCTAGGCACCCTGAGGCACCTCTGAAAAATCTAATTTGAAAACCACTACTAGAACTCAGTTTGTCCTCATTAGTATAGTGGTGAGTAAAGTAAAAGACAAATCAGATGAGAAACATATGAAACTTATATAAAAATAAAATAATTTTTTTTTTTTTGAGACAGAGTCTCGCTCCTTCATCAGGGCTAGAGTGCCATGGCGTCAGCCTAGCTCACAGCAACCTCAAACTCCTGGGCTCAAGCAATCCTCCTGCCTCAGCCTCCCAAGTAACGGGACTACAGGCATGAGCCACCATGCCCGGCTAAGGTTTTCTATATATATTAGTTGGCCAATTAATTTGTTTCTATTTATAGTAGAGACCGGGTCTCGCTCTTGCTGAGGCTGGTTTCAAACTCCTGACCTCGAGCAATCCACCCGCCTCAGCCTCCCAGAGTGCTAGGATTACAGGCGAGAGCCACTCCGCCCGGCTAGAAAAATAAAATAATTTTGAAAAATAAAGCTGTTTGAAAACTGCTGTTAGAAGTATACAAAATAAAAAAAAAAAAGAAGTATACAAAATAGTCTAATTCCATAAACCTAGATATCACATACAGTCTTTTGGTTTAAGATGTTGTAAAGTATGAAAAAAGTACTCAAATTTTATGTACCTAAATATTATCTTAACCTATTATCATTCATTCCTTATCAGCTGAATGAACATAAGAATATAATGAGGCAAGAGAAATGGACACTAAAATTCTCTGTAAAAAGAGATTTATAAATTAATACAGATAAATTACTAAGCATTTTATGACTTTATCTACAAACACTGTTTAATAATAATGACTGAGAAAAAGGAGAATGATGGCAGAAAAAAAAGCTCCTGCTAAAAGATGAAGACTGTGTAATTTTGGGGATGTCATCTGTTTTCTTCTTAGAGTCTAGGAACTTCTGATGGCAACAAATATGAAAATTACTATCCAGGAAGATTATATGAATTCCCAGAGAAAACCAATGGAGTAAATCAAAGGAATAATTACAACAACCACAAATCCTAATGTGGGACTCTGGCCCCAGAAAACTAACACAGACCTTGGTTTTCTTGAAGAAATAGTAAGAAACAGGACCAATGGTCACACAACTAATTACCTTCTATTCTACTGGCTAACTTTGCATAATTTTCTGTGAGCTGTTGAAAAACAGCTCATATGAAAAACACGATGCATAATTGAGTGACACAATATATTGAAGTCACAGAAGTCCATTCTAGGCTTTTTCACACAAAAATACCTAAGGTTATTTGTTTAACTGATTAATAATTAGAATTTAAAACCGGTGAATTTGATCAATACCTACTTGGTTGCCTGCCCTCATCTCCCTAAGTCATCTGAGAGTCAGAAAGGTTGAGAAAGGATCCTAGGAGAGATTCTCTTCATATGGCTGAACTCTTAACATATCAAGAGAGTTGTCAGGGGTCATACATGGACTATGGAGCAGAGGGAGCTCGTCTGAAAGGAGAAAAGAATAAATGTACACAAAGAAGAGCAGAGTGGAGTATAAACGAGAAGGACAGACTCCTGATGGCCTCCAGTTGTAGCTGCAGCTCCTTCCTAAAGTCTGGCTACATTTCTATTCTTAGAGTTCATGAAACACTTATTCTTAAAATGTTCCACTCCCTTAACCCTTGGTATACCATCAGGGTCAACTGGAATTTTAGTCTTTTCCTTTTTTTTTTGAGACAGAGTCTTGCTTTGTTGCCCAGGCTAGAGTGAGTGCCATGGGGTCAGCATAGCTCACAGCAACCTCAAACTCCTGGGCTCAAGCAATCCTTCTGCCTCAGCCTCCCAAGTGGCTGGGACTACAGGCATGTGCCACCATGCCCAACTAATTTTATATATATATATTAGTTGGCCAATTAATTTCTTTCTATTTATAGTAGAGACGGGGTCTCGCTCTTGCTCAGGCTGGTTTCGAACTCCTGACCTTGAGCAATCCACCCGCTTTGGCCTCCCAGAGTGCTAGGATTACAGGCGTGAGCCACCATGCCCAGCCTTTAGTCTTTTTCTTAAGCAGTTCTAACTATCAGTAAGAATTGGTATTTATAAATTTTATTCCTTCTTAAAGGTCTCCTACCAAATAAAGAGAAAATTACTTATTGTTTTAACAGAATAAAACTTATTTTATCTTAAAATTATCATAAGGATACACTGGATCCTTTCATAAATCTAATGATGGAATGGTAATCATCTTGTTTTTTTCTGTATCTTGAATTGTTTTCTATTTTATCATCTTGGGAATCATTTTATCCTTATTCATCAATTATTCCCAACTATGCTAAAAATTACTAAAATAATAAGTCTTATGGAATCACCTAGAAGAATGATGCAATCGTGAAATAACCAGTTTTCTAACTTCACTACCTAAAGTACTGCATCATTTTTAAAAGCAACCGCAGGTACTGCCGGGCGTGGTGGCTCAAGCCTATAATCCTAGCACTCTGGGAGGCCGAGGCGGGTGGACTGCTCAAGGTCAGGAGTTCGAAATCAGCCTGAGCAAGAGCAGACCCCGTCTCTACTATAAATAGAAAGAAATTAATTGGCCTACTAATATATATAGAGAGAAAAAATTAGTTAGGCATGGTGGCACATGCCTGTAGTCCCAGCCACTTGGGAGGCTGAGGCAGGAGGATTGCTTGAGCCCAGGAGTTTGAGGTTGCTGTGAGCTATGCTGACCTCAAGGCACTCACTCTAGCCTTGGCAACAAAGTGAAACTCTGTCTCAAAAAAAAAAAGAAATACAGAGATACTATCTTTGTAGTCTTTTTTCTTTTTGCTTTCATTGAACAGAGTTGAAAATTCAGAATTGTTTATGTTTGGACAAAGAGAAGAAAATTGACAAAGGAAAACATTTCACAATTATTAGACAACTCAGAAGACAAATGCAAAGAGACAGAAAGAAACACTCTAGAATCTAATGGTTATGATGAAATTGATTGTAGAAGCAAAATCTCAGACAAATCTTCAAATGGCAATATTCTAGCTGAATTTTCTCAAACTCAAGAATTAATGAGTTAACAATGTATTTCTAAGAACAAAAAGGAAACATGGTTTCACATTAATTAGTCATTAAATAGGAAAATATTTTACTAGGCAATATTTTGCAACAAGGACCTGAACCATCTCATTTTGCTAAACAAGTATGTAACAGTATTGTTTCATTATGTCTGTTATTTATACACCAACATTTACTTGATATGGCTCATACATGGACAAATGCTGAAGGCAAGTGTATATACAAATGCAACTGGGAGGAAACAGTTGACACAGAAAAGAAAAAAATTCAGTGGACTGATCATTCTAATTGTTATTTACAAATCTAAGAGTAAATTGTAATCAGGTAATTCCATGATTTATATAAGAATAAATTGTAATTATGGAGCAAAGATGAAAGTCGTATCTTCAATAAAATCATAAGCCATCAAAGTTTTCAAAAGTGTTGGTTTTAATAACATAATCAAGCAGAACAAGGAATAATGATAACCTCAAATATATTAGGGTGGTAACTGAAATCTGGAATCAGTATTTACAAGATAAATACATTCCAGTTAATGCATAAGAGTTAATAAGCAGTTAACCGAATTCAAGAATAGTACCTATTTTCAGTATATGTGTTTTCAAAACCAGAAAAATATAGAAAACTTGGATTTGCTATATTTAAGTTATTAAAATTTCTAATAAAGTTCTTTCACTATCACTTTATTCATATTTCTATAGATTATAAAATGATTTAATAGAAAAAACATTAAAAAGATTTCTTGACACACACAGGATTAAGTAAATTAGCTTAGATTGATTGCTCTTACTTGCAACTAAAGAATCCTAACTGAGTCAGCTACACGTGTTAACACTATAAACAAATCTAATTTCTTCTGAAAAACACACTGCCCTCTCTATGCTAAAACTTTCTAAATATTCAACCATGTCTTCACTATATTGTCTTATAGCAGTGAGTATTGAACACTGCACTGCACAGTCACAGAAGGGGTTAGGGTATAAAGTTAGCATATAAGGCGAGAATCACAGATAGTCATAATTACCTTAGAAAATAAAGTCCTTGGGAAATCTGATAGTCTGTTTTCCTCTAGTATTTGAGTGTTTGCACTACTTTGGATAAGAGTGAAATGAGGAAGTTGGCTTGCATTTGGGGATGTGTTTTACCAAAAACAAATATTTCTATTTTTTTTTTTTTTATTTTTAGAGATGGGATCTCACTCTTGCTCAGGCTGGTCTCAAACTCCTGAGCTCAAGTGATCCTCCTCCCGACTCAGCCTCCTAGAGTGCTAGGATTACAACCACAACTGGCCTAAAACCAAATATTTCTAAACACTAGAATGCTTGCCATAGTCCAATGATAACACTATAAGAGGCATTAAAACAACTGAGATCAACAGAATGACACCAGATTTCTATTTCCCTTCTCAAGCTCAATATAGAGCAGACATTAATTAAGCAGGTTACCTTTATTTACTTCCCCCCCAAATGTACACTAGTGCATTCACCTAAGTTAATGCCACCAGACACACTTCCGGGTGGTTCTGTGCCAATAAGTGTTTGCTCAATGATTTCTTTAGGAACTTTTAGAACAATTTCCTATGCCCTAAAAGAAAGAAACTATTACATTCACCCATCACTAGAGCACGTACTTTCCTCATTAGGTAATTACAACTAAAGGTCTTTTAAGTGCCACCAAGCTGCCTCTTCAACTGAGGCAGAGTATTACTGCAGTTCCTCTAGAGAGGTCCCTCTACTTTCAAATTCCACAATCTCGGCTTGATAATCTAGACCAGAGTTCAATAATGCTTATCAGTATATATTTTCTTATATCTAAATTCAATGGGTTTTTTTTATGGGCTTAGTAAAGAGGAAAACATGCTTACCACAGTCCTCTAAGAATATCTTTTGTTGAAATACTATTATATTATTAAGTGTTCCCTCACGGTTCTTATCCCAAGGCTAAATAGTTGAGTTTCTTTAGTCCTTTACAATAGATCCCACTTTTTTTTTTTTTTTTTTTGAGACAGAGTCTCGCTTTGTTGCCCAGGCTAGACTGAGTGCCGTGGCGTCAGCCTAGCTCACAGCAACCTCAAACTCCTGGGCTCGAGCGATCCTCCTGCCTCAGCCTCCCGAGTAGCTGGGACTACAGGCATGAGCCACCATGCCCGGCTAATTTTTTTTATATATATATCAGTTGGCCAATTAAGTTCTTTCTATTTATAGTAGAGACGGGGTCTCGCTCTTGCTCAGGCTGGTTTTGAACTCCTGACCTTGAGCAATCCGCCCGCCTCGGCCTCCCACGCCCGGCCAATAGATCCCACTTTTAAATCCTTTCATTTTCTTTATGGCTTTCCCTTGAACCTTTTGCAAGCTTTTCTTATCCCTAATAAGTACAATGTCCAGAACTAGTGATGACTAGACACTGACTAATAATACAGGAAAATTAACTTGCTATTCATATAATCTTTTTTTTTTAATTTTTTCTTTTATTTCATCATATTATGGAGGTACAAATATTGTTAGGGTTACAAATATTGCTCCTGCCCCCCCTCCTTCCCCCCAATGTGTCCAATCCCCCGGTGGTGTGCATCACACAGGCTATGGAAGCATACACCCCTTTCCTCCTCCCCCCTCCCGCCTGCCCACCACCCAATAAAAAGGGTTTTTTGGGTTATTAGGATCTCGCCAATTTACATACAGATAGAACAGTCTTTGAATTTCGCCACATTTTAGGATTATCCAGCTCATGAATTGATGGGCACTTGGGTTGTTTCATGGATAGAGGGAAATAGTGAATCGCTTACATTAGTCTGCTTAATTGTGTCTTTATGCTCTTTTGGGTAGTGCCCCAATGCATTGCAGGTTCTTATCTAACATCGACACACAATACTTAACTATCCAACACAATAGATGTGAGCGCAATCCATAGCACAAACGGCATCAGAGTTATGACAAAGAGTCTGAGCCTCCTTATGCACTCACACCTATGTTTTGGACATATCTTGATATAGCACATTCTTACTGGGGTCGTGTATCTCACTGTGGTTTTTGATTTGTATTTCTCTAATATTAGAGAAGTTGACATTTCTTTAATGTATCTCACCATTATTCTGATCAATTCTTTATTCCTATAATCTTAACTTTTTTGTATCCAAATTTTATTTTTTTTTTTTTTTTGAGACAGATCTCACTTTGTTGCCCGGCTAGAGTGACCGTGGCGTCAGCTGGCTCACAGCAACCTCATCTCCGGGGCTCAGCGATCCTACTGCCTCAGCCTCCTGAGTAGCTGGGACTACAGGCATGCCCACCATGGCCGGCTATTTTTTTGTATATATATTTTTTTAGTTGGTCAATTAATTTATTTCTATTTTTTTTGGTAGAGACGGGGTCTCGCTCAGGCTGGTTTCGAACTTCTGACCTTGAGCATCCCG